TGTCGTAGGCGCTACGCACGGGACTCGAACACTGGCATAAATTAGCATAAATTAGTTGCTGACTATAATACCAAGTGATATTCACTATCCTTGTATTCAAAAATACTCGGTCATTAATGCGTTAAGTAAATGGTTTAAGGACACTAGTTGCACCAATTATAATTATTCGAAAATAATCTTAACTTTTTATTCCTTCACAAAAATGAGTATTAACCTCGTCAAAATACACTACTGTGCAAGGAAACTTTAATCATAAGTCTGCAAAAACACTAAAAATATACTCCTCCAGGCATCATAAATATTCGTCCTAGTAGAGAAATGGAGATTTATATTAAAAAAAAGACCTGCATTGTCAGCCTGGTACACGAGTTATTTATTGGAACATCACGTAAGATAGCAGCGATAACTTCTTACATCTGCCACGAATTGTTTCTTACTAATTAAAAAAAATATATATATAAATATATTTCCCTTTTTGTTCACTTCAGGCAACAACTATTACCCAAAATAATCAGTCAGCTGGGTGGAGGCAAAAGGAGAGGGGTGCCTGTTGCGCCTCTCTCTGCCTCGCAAATTAAAGAACAAATCCTGGTAATTTTACCGAAACATGTCAGTTTCTGCTGTTTACTTAGTGGCCGAGAAGTCTTCTGTATACAATGAACGTCCAGTTCCACTGTGTTAGTAAAATATTGTCGAGACGAAACAGTGTCGCTGTGTATCTTCATGAGAATGGTCTTTTGCAATTTTAACCTACTGCTGGGTTGAAACATGCAAACCAGCATCCTAAGTCATCCCAGACATGTTACCTATCATCCCGCCATCATGCTCCTAAGGTTGGATCATAGATATTTTTAGTATTTGTGATTTCATTGTGTATTTGAAGGTGGGAGGGGGGGGGCTTTTGGCGTGAACGCCATTACCCACGTCAGTGTATTTGCAGATTACATGTAAAACTGGGATTGCCTACTAGGTCGATGCCTAGTTTAGTAGTGGGTCGGGTCAGAGTTTAGGTTGTGTAATATTTAGCACATTGTGGTCCATTGGTAACGCACAGGTCTGGGATGACTCGGGATGCTGGTTTGATTGTGCCAAACTATATTTACGGTTTTAAATGTAGCTGAAAGAACCCAATAGGTTCTGAAAGCTATACAGCAGTTGATTAAAGGTTGAGGGGGAGGGGTGTTACCTATGAGCATTGGCATCTACAAGCATCTACAACTTGCTTAGCATATTTAAATGAGTAGGTACAAGAACACGCATAATTAAAAATCGATTCAGATATAGATAATTGGCCCCATAACATATAGCCACAGTAGAAGCACAGGTCCATGTTATGGGAGCAGTTGTAGGCAGCTACATACACAGCAGGAGTCGCAAGTAGTCGAGTCTATCAAGAAGTGGTGTAGAAAAATTACTGCTGTAAGTACACTTACTCAGGTGCATGATTACAGTGTGTAAGAATTTTGTTGTCTTGTTCCTGGTGTAGTGTTATTCTCAGATGGCTTATGCCTCATAAGACAGCTTAAGGAAGATATCTTGACGTCTTCCGACTTCTGAAACAATGTGTCACAGCTCTAGATAGTCGGCAGCCTTCAAGGACCTTACAAGACGTCTTCCCTAAACTGTCTGAGGCAAAGATCAAAGTAGAGTTTGAAGAAAATAACAGCCATTATATATATATATATATATATATATATATATATATATATATATATATATATATATATATATATATATATATATTGGTAGCAGTCTTTCCTGTAGACATATTTTATTAAATATGACCGTGGACCAACAAACATAGGAATGTGCCTAAATGCCAACAGCGACTGCCCTGACAGGTACAAGAGGAGTGTTGTTAACGCATACGTCGACCGTGCTCTCAGCCACAGCTCAGAATGGAAGCAAGTCGACGAAGAACTCTGTAGGGTAAGGCAGGTTCTAGTCAATAATGGCTTCTCCAATGGTTTCATCGAAGACATCATAAGAAGGAAAGTGAAAAGCCATGCAACCTCCGAAGAGACAACTAACACAACACCTATACCCCCTATTAGACTATTTTACAGGAACTTCTTTTCCACAGCTCATAAAACAGAGGAAAGGGTCCTGAAAGATATTGTTAATAGAAACGTTATCCCTACAGACAAAAATCAGAGGATACAACTGACGATTTACTATAAAACCAGAAAAACGGCCAGCCTACTCATGAGAAACTCTCCAGACACGAAACAGAACGCTTTAAAAGAGACTAACGTCGTCTATGCCTTCAAATGCCCACTTGGGGACTGTAAGCTCCAAAAAACCCAGTATATAGGCAAGACAACAACATCTCTTTCTAGGCGTTTAACGATGCATAAACAACAGGGCTCCATTAAGGAACATATAATCTCTTCCCATAACCAAACCATCGTCAGAGAAATCCTAGTAAACAACACAGAAATCATCGATAGATACAGCGATAGCAGGCGGCTCGACGTTTGCGAGGCACTACACATCAAGAAGTCAACACCAGCAATCAACAGCCAATTATTGCACAACTATATTCTACCCACCTCAAGACTCCGCTCCAATATAGAAGCATCAAGAAATATGGACCAATAGGCTTTCTACAAACACTTCTATTCAATATCCATTGTTTCGTGTTCTGTCTTGTGTTGATACTTTTAATACCCTATTAATATCCTCTAATGCCACATCATCCTTCCCACCTTACTCAAATGTAATGCCACATCACCCTTCCCACCTCACTCAAATGTAGATATAAAATCAGGGAAACGCAAGTTCTAATCAGTTGTGTATTTGTGAAGTCTTTGAAAATGTAATAAGTTTTACGAAACGCGCCCGTGTCGCGTCAGACTAGAAATAAAAATGAATTTTGGAGAAGTGATTTTTGATTTACCTCCAACAGTGAAGCATAATGTACGCAAGATTGAGAAAATTCGTGTTAGAATTATTAATCTTACTTTTTCGGTCATATTTAATATAATATATATATATATATATATATATATATATATATATATATATATATATATATATATATATATATATATATATATATATATATATATATATATATCAACATTGAAAATCAACATTGAAAAATGAACAGAGGCTTGAAGCAAGATGAGTGCGAGAACTGAGAGGGTCGAGCTATAACGCCAAGTTATGTAACTAAATCTCACAACCTTAGTGGTGAAAAGGAAAATGGGATATAATAACTACATATAAGATACTTTGTGAAACAGACAAGTTGGACAAATTCAGAATCTTTAAATCGGGGGGAATCAGGACAAGAGACATTGTTGGAAGCTGGAAATGCAAATTAGTCTAAGACACTCATTCTATACGAGTGGTCAATAAGTGTAAGCAACCGTCATCCACAACTTCAGTACCAGATACAATAATAAACCCCAATGTCGCGAAAGTTGAAATAAAACTTAATTGCTACAGGAAGGTTAGTTGGCGACAGAGATCGCTCGTCATCACTCCTCCGTAGTCACGGTTAGATAACACAAGGCAAATATTTTTGTTCCTAGGATTAAAGTGCTATTTTCCGATTGCTTATGCCTCCAACGTATATATATATATATATATATATATATATATATATATATATATATATATATATATATATATATATTTTAAATATTTTTGTTCCTAGGATTAAAGTGCTATTTTCCGATTGCTTATGCCTCCAACGTATATATATATATATATATATATATATATATATATATATATATATATATATATATACGTTGGAGGCATAAGCAATCGGAAAATAGCACTTTAATCCTAGGAACAAAAATATTTGCCTTGTGTTATCTAACCGTGACTACGGAGGAGTGATGACGAGCGATCTCTGTCGCCAACTAACCTTCCTGTAGCAATTAAGTTTTATTTCAACTTTCGCGACATTGGGGTTTATTATTGTATCTGGTACTGAAGTTGTGGATGACGGTTGCTTACACTTATTGACCACTCGTATAGAATGAGTGTCTTAGACTAATTTGCATTTCCAGCTTCCAACAATGTCTCTTGTCCTGATTCCCCCCGATTTAAAGATTCTGAATTTGTCCAACTTGTCTGTTTCACAAAGTATCTTATATGTAGTTATTATATCCCATTTTCCTTTTCACCACTAAGGTTGTGAGATTTAGTTACATAACTTGGCGTTATAGCTCGACCCTCTCAGTTCTCGCACTCATCTTGCTTCAAACCTCTGTTCATTTTTCAATGTTGATTTTTCCTCACGAAGTGCAAATTCCAGGTCGGTGCTGCGTATTGTAGAATTGATCTTGTTTAGGCTGTATAGAGTGTCTTGAGAGTGCTTATTAAGGGTTTTTAAATGCCGGTTTAGTATTTGTCAGCTTGTTATCTGCTGCCGATTTTACGCTGTTATACGTACGAAGCTGTAAAGTAGTTTTCTCTTTCCGATTCCTGTAGTTGCTTTCCCTTATTGAGTAGATTCCTTTAATCTACTTATTCCCTTTTCTATCTTCAACACTTTACCCATTTGTTGGAGTTGAACTCTTAACAGCCATTTGTTTGTCCACTCCTGAAGTTTTCTGCCTTCTTTGTTTCTTTTTACAGTCCTTATTATAGACTGATATATACCAGTTCATTTCATGGTCATTTGCTCGACATAGGAACATCTCTGGTCCTGGGACAGAACTATGAGAGACCTCACTCTTCTCCACCATGTTAATACCACCTCTCTCATTATGACACTGTGTTTCCTCCCCGTCAGGTACTTCCTTATCCAGTAAGTTGTTTTCCCATATGACCCAGCTTTAAGTTTTTAAAGAGCCTGTTAAATTCAATTTTTGAAACAGTTTTTGCCATTATCCGTCTTTCTTCACTGCCACATATCTTCGCCCTTCCCCTGTGCTTAAATGTCACTTTCCTCTCTCCCAATCACCCTTCACCCTTCCCTTCCGTTTTCCCTTCTTTCCCATCAGTGACATAATAACTCTTAACACAAGTTTTCATCGTCGCTATTTCCTTTGTGTATGTCCGTTGAGGGGAAGCTGGGAAGGCGTGTAGGTGAACTGGTGGTCAAGTGGTTCACTGAGGGGAGGCTGGTGGTCTAGTGGTTCACTGAGGGGAGGCTGGTGGTCAAGTGGTTCACTGAGGGGAGGCTGGTGGTCAAGTGGTTCACTGAGGGGAGGCTGGTGGTCAAGTGGTTCACTGAGGGGAGGCTGGTGGTCAAGTGGTTCACTGAGGGGAGGCTGGTGGTCAAGTGGTTCACTGAGGGGAGGCTGGTGGTCTAGTGGTTCACTGAGGGGAGGCTGGTGGTCAAGTGGTTCACTGAGGGGAGGCTGGTGGTCTAGTGGTTCACTGAGGGGAGGCTGGTGGTCAAGTGGTTCACTGAGGGGAGGCTGGTGGTCTAGTGGTTCACTGAGGGGAGGCTGGTGGTCTAGTGGTTCACTGAGGGGAGGCTGGTGGTCAAGTGGTTCACTGAGGGGAGGCTGGTGGTCAAGTGGTTCACTGAGGGGAGGCTGGTGGTCTAGTGGTTCACTGAGGGGAGGCTGGTGGTCTAGTGGTTCACTGAGGGGAGGCTGGTGGTCAAGTAGTTCACTGAGGGGAGGCTGATGGTCAAGTGGTTCACTGAGGGGAGGCTGGTGGTCTAGTGGTTCACTGAGGGGAGGCTGATGGTCTAATGGTTCACTGAGGGGAGGCTGGCGGTCTAGTGGTTCACTGAGGGGAGTCTGGTGGTCTAGTGGTTCACTGAGGGGAGGCTGGCGGTCTAGTGGTTCACTGAGGGGAGTCTGGTGGTCTAGTGGTTCACTGAGGGGAGGCTGGCGGTCTAGTGGTTCACTGAGGGGAGGATGGCGGTCTAGTGGTTCACTGAGGGGAGGCTGGTGGTCTAGTGGTTCACTGAGGGGAGGCTGGTGAGTGTAGGTGGACTGGTGGTCAAGTGGGCCCAAGTGGCTCGGCAAGCACCAAACGCCTCTGCCTTAAGTAACGGAATGTCGCCTAGCTTCGCTTCTCCAATTAGGTGATGAACCTGCTAGCACTTCAGACCTGTGCTGTAGTTCCCCTTCGCTTCTTTTCCCAATGGTCCACATCCCCGGGGCCATGGTCACATTCACTAACTAGTACCAACAGTAATGATTCAATTAGTCTCCGAAATTAGTACAGTCGATACGGAGGTGGAACTGGTGCCATTAAGTAATTAGGGATGCCATTAGTGGTGTTTGTGCACATCCCAGTGTGTTATAGAAACTGCAACATAAAAGATGCAAGGTCTGCCTGCCGCATCTTCTGGAAGGTATGTGATCTGGAAGAGAACTGGCTCTGGCTCCGTCTAGTTTGCATAAAGATGACGTGAGTTACAGCCGGAGAACCGCCCACAATACTCTTACGACTGTGTTGTTTCAAGATACCTGCGTTGGTTTGTTGCAAGTTGTTCTTGGCGGTATAACACTGCCGATGAGCAATGGGTTAAATTGGTTTAACATGAAACCGCTTACAGATTATTAAGCTTTAGTTATGTGTTGGTTTAAGATAGGTTTGATATCTTTGTCAAGACAAAGGGTACAGTGAAGTGTTAATTTATTATGAACCCAAAACCCATCGTGTGAACGGTAATGGAAAATGTCAGAGGCATATAATGGGCTCAGAAACTGGACCCCAGCATAGTTGAGACAATTTCTGGCCTGTTCTTATAAGCTCCCAGCAATGCGACGTAATATTAAATTACTGCATAAATGTTGATACTCGGCTACAGTATATATATATATATATATATATATATATATATATATATATATATATATATATATATATATATATATATATATATATATATATATATATATAATATTAAAGTTGTGGGCTGCTACTGCTGTGAGTATGTATGTATGTATGTGTGTGTGTATATATATATATATAATATATATATATATATATATATATATATATATATATATATATATATATATATATATATATATATTATATATATATATATATATATATATATATATATATATATATATATATATATATATATATATATATAATATATATATCACATATATATATATATCACATATATATATATATCACTACATATATATATCACACTGCAATGTAAAATTCAAGTCGTAGATTTGGTATTTTAAATTGAAGCTAATTGTCACAGATATATGTCTTGGGTCTGACGCAGTGTATAGTGCCTCCTGGTGAGTGCAAGTGTTGGATATTCATAATATATTGACGCTGTTGATATAAAATATTCTTTGGCCATTACGTACTGTCAAAGTTAAACTGGTAAATAATTTGGGGTTATCACTGATATATGTAACGTAGTAGGTGCTCTCATGGTGCGAGTGTGGTGGGTATAGCAATATTGAATATGATCAGTAATGGTTTTCTTACATGGTGCGAGATAATGTATAGAAAGCATTAGGTATGTTGAAGGTAGTAATGCAGACGACGAACCACGCAGCCGCCCAGTGCTGCTGCTGGACCCCACGGGGCCATCGACTTCGTGTCCACAACGTCACTCTCCCGCTGGGGATGAAGATGAATCCTCAGACAGACTAATCAAGGGAGCCATTCTCTGTTGCTCGGAAAACCAGTACGGTCTCCTGCAGTCATTGGAGACTAGTGGTTGTGCTTGAGCTACCAGGTCTCCTGCGGTCATTGGAGACTAGTTGTTGTGCTTGAGCTACCAGGTCTCCTGCGGTCGCTGGAGGCTAGTTGTTGTGCTTGAGCTACCAGGTCTCCTGCGGTCGCTGGAGGCTAGTGGTTGTGCTTGGGCTACCAGGTCTCCTGCGGTCATTGGAGGCTAGTGGTTGTGCTTGGGCTACCAGGTCTCCTGCGGTCATGGGACGTTAGTGGTTGTGCTTGAGCTACCAGGTCTCCTGCGGTCATGGGACGTTAGTGGTTGTGCTTGAGCTACCAGGTCTCCTGCGGTCGCTGGAGGCTAGTGGTTGTGCTTGGGCTACCAGGTCTCCTGCGGTCGCTGGAGGCTAGTGGTTGTGCTTGGGCTACCAGGTCTCCTGCGGTCGCTGGAGGCTAGTGGTTGTGCTTGAGCTACCAGGTCTCCTGCGGTCGCTGGAGGCTAGTGGTGGAGCTACCCGGCTACCACACATACTCTACCACCACCTCCAGCGTATGACTGTTAAGAGATGATTTATCGATGCCCGCACCATGCCATTAAGGGGCTGGAGTATCCAAGAGTGATTCATTAGCATTCATGAATTTCCTCGTAATTACACCCCGACCGGACTGGCAGGAGAGGCTTCAGAAGCCAGTTCTTGAAGCTCGTGCCGGAGTCAACCCCTACAGGCAGCTGATCATAACTAAGTCTGATTTCGGGACTTGAAATTGGTCAGGATTATTTACTGTGCTGATAGCATGGAAGCGGGTTTAATATTTTCGTATTGGCATGTGGAGGTGTCATTCCGGATTAGGATCCTGGGTTCTTGGTTGAGCTTGGTGCTATCTGATCAAAACCTTCACGAACGCAACTGTTGCTCATCTGTTTTCTCACCTCTCTTCTTCTCTGGCCCGTTGCTCACATATCTTCTTCTCTGGCCCGTTGCTCACCTTTTCTTCTCTAGCCCGTTGCTCACTCTCTTCTTCTCTGGCCCGTTGCTCACCTCTCTTCTTTGGCCCGTTGCTCACCTGTCTTCTCTGGCCTGTTGCTCACTCTCTTCTTCTCTGGCCCGTTGCTCACCTCTCTTCTTTGGCCCGTTGCTCACCTGTCTTCTCTGGCCTGTTGCTCACTCTCTTCTTCTCTGGCCTGTTGCTCACTCTCTTCTTCTCTGGCCTGTTGCTCACCTCTCTTGTTCTCCTACCCGTGTGTGACTGGGCCAGCAGGGCGCTGTGGGAGTGTGGGGGTGACTGCGTCTCGGACCTGGACGGGTAATGAGGGGTACACACCCCTGATATTTTCCTGAGACGCCTCCAGAGATTATGATAGTTCCTCTCCTATATGTGGTCGTTGATTGTATAGTAACTGTAGCCTTTAGGTAGTTTGTGGTGATTGCACTCCAACAGATTTTGACACTTTGGCATTTTATTATAGAGTAACTGTTTGCGAGCTATACTCAAGAGATATGTTCGTATTTAATGGTATCGGGACCATCTTGAATTTTAGTGGGCAGTAATCAAGCATCCAAATGTGTCTCATCTCAAATCTGGTAATCGGACCAATTGTCAGATTTGAGATGATCACTCTGGTATAGGACTGGATGTCTGTGAGAGCGTCCAGGACGTTGCCAAGATGGAGTGAGGATGGGCCTGGATGTTGCCAAGATGGAGTGAGGATGGGCCTGGATGTTGCCAAGATGGAGTGAGGATGGGCCTGGATGTTGCCAAGATGGAGTGAGGATGGGCCTGGATGTTGCCAAGATGGAGTGAGGATGGGCCTGGATGTTGCCAAGATGGAGTGAGGATGGGCCTGGATGTTGCCAAGATGGAGTGAGGATGGGCCTGGATGTTGCCAAGATGGAGTGAGGATGGGCCTGGATGTCGCCAAGATGGAGTGAGGATGGGCCTGGATGTCGCCAAGATGGAGTGAGGATGGGCCTGGATGTTGCCAAGATGGAGTGAGGATGGACCTGGATGTCGCCAAGATGGAGTGAGGATGGGCCTGGATGTCGCCAAGATGGAGTGAGGATGGGCCTGGATGTTGCCAAGATGGAGTGAGGATGGGCCTGGATGTTGCCAAGATGGAGTGAGGATGGGCCTGGATGTTGCCAAGATGGAGTGAGGATGGGCCTGGATGTTGCCAAGATGGAGTGAGGATGGGCCTGGATGTCGCCAAGATAAAGCTGTATTATAACTACAGGCCATGATCGCTGGGAACGTCTCACTGAGCAAACATCAGTCGCCTATTTGCTAAAGGTCTTAATCTTCCCCAACAGTATTTGGAAAGATTTGAAGCGGCGCGGTTTATACGTATTCAAATGCTCAGCGAGATTTTATTTATATGTTCCAGCTTTAGAGTCCATTTATAGCCAAAGTTGTTTCAAAAGATTCGAACGGGTCTAAATGTTTAGTTAGTATTAAGCAATGTTAGTAATTTAACTATATAGTTAAATACTAACTAATTGAACTTAATTAGTAGTTTATGGGTTTTGAATATATAGTTATTACTGCCTTTGTTGGACACTAGTGATACGCATAAACAATATTATCCGTATTTTGTAGCGTCATAGTCAAAGTACTGCTGGCTTTACCTATCAGTAGAGACACTCATAATTACGAGTGCCAATCAATGTAGCCATTTATTAAACTGGGATAAGTGTAGTGTATTGTTTTTTAATCGGAAACTTGATCCTGGTAGTGGGTTCGGAACAAGGAAATCACCTTCCTTGTCTTTTTCATCGTCGACCCTCGGGGGTACAGCGGCTTGTCGGCTTTTTGGGGGACTGGAGGTCACGCGAGACTGCCGTAATTGCTCTGGCCTCCTAATCATTGTCATTGATGCCGTGGGTCATTTGAGATTAAATTGAAAAGAATATGTAAGTGAGATAAGCGGTCATTTGCGGTTACAATAGTGCGGGCTACGTATTAGCGAACTAAAGAGATTACTTATGGGGTATGTACGTGGTGGTGGTCGGGTGAGGAAAATATAAGAGATGTTAGGGTAAAGCTAAATGGGAATACTGAGGTAGTGGTTCGAACTTAACTATTTGAATGTTGGATATACATTTACAAGTGTGAGAATTTGTTCACTTAATTTAGCCTATAGTAAAATATTACATTACTGTAATGAAAAAACTGCAGACCCAGCTTCACGAAATATAATATATTGATATGCGTTGTTCTTAGAATTTACGAAATATGATATATTGATATGTGTTGTTCTTAGAATTAAACCTCTCATCTTTTTCCTATGGTCAAAGTATAGGGGATGTTTTTTAAGCATATATAGGTGTATGAACATTTATGTCTCTATCCTAGACTATTTGAGGGCTGACATGGTTTGTGTCAACGGCTAGCTGGATGATATTGAAAACTCCATCTCGCACGATGGGTAGTCATACAGGGCCGTGTGATCAGTAGCCTGCGCTGGCAAACCTTGGGTGCATTATGATAAAATCCTTAAGTACACAACAGTGGATAGAGTGGAAAGCTCCAGGTCCCTCGTACCAGCAGGTCTGAAGGGTATAATGACTGGACATTCAATAATGTAATGTGTCATTATGATCTAATTCATGCTCATTAATTTTACACACAGTGCTCATACTGGGGTATTGTAGGAGTAAACCCTACAGGTTTATTCTTCCTGTTGGGGAGACGACTGAGATTTGAGACGACCCAAAGACTAGACGCTGTCATAACTCAAAGGTTATGACAGTGGCAGCGGCATTGTGATACTTGATAAATGGTCAATAATTTTTTAGGTCAAATAAAACGCTACGGATACCATTCCAAACCCGCATTTCATCTATTTCTACAGCAACTTTAAGGGGTATCTCCATAAAAGACCCAGTAAGGTAATAAAATTACGCTTTCAAAAATCTCCTACCCCTCCTTCCCCGAAAAAAAGTCATCAGACGTGATACGGAAATTTGTTGATACCACAACTCCATGCAGTAATAAAAATACATATATACTGATGAATCAAGTCTGAATGATTAAAGGCAGTATGGGCAGTTGTGTATGACGACCACAGACAATTGAAAACATACTGAATAATCATCCATATTCACATCCAAGGTTATATCAGTGTTACGAACATTGAAAGTGACGAAAGCCCAAAAGCCTACTTGATACTATACTTGGACTCACAGTGTAAGTACCGCAGTCGGCCAGTATTCACCACTGTACCTCACAATGCAAAGGGTTCACCATTTGGCTGTGCCAACAAGCAATTACATTTAAAACTACACATTCCCGTCCATGTGGAGATCAGTGACAAGGAGGAAGACGACCGGGGAACTCCATCACTCCGTGATTATCCAGCCACAACGTACAAAATACAAAGTGCTAACCTAACCAGAATCGTACGAACCCAAGCAACCCACCTAACCTAACGTAATGATCCATATAAAAAATTGTATATTTTTATACAAAATGATACTAATCAGTATCATTTTGTACTAATGATAGTACAAAATTGTAGTACTAATTGGGAGTACTAGTATAAAGATAGATAAAGATAGTACTCCCAGTACTAATTGAGAGGACGGATTGTATCATCACATTCAACCCAAATTAAAAAATACCAATTGAATATCCAGTTGTATATGTGGCGGTGCCTTTGGACCAGACCTTAACAATAAGTAAAGAGAGCGTCGGACACTCCCCGTGGACCTCCTAAAACCTTAACAACAGGCTGCATTAAAGGGTCATAATTCGCCTTGGGAGTTGCTATTGGACACAAGCCTATAACCTCCTGCTGGAAGGGACCCGTGACTCTCGTTTTGGTTCGTGTGGCCTTTCACTAATCATACAACATGTATGATTCACTGTCCGAAACATGTCGGATTACAGCAGGAAATTCAACACATACATGCATGCATACATACGTACGTACGTACGTATGTATGGTGGAATACACGTCGTCCACCTCGTAATACATGTATACATGTATTACGAGGTGGATACATGTATTCCACGTATACATGTATTACGAGGTGGATACATGTATTCCACCTCAACCCCAGGTGTGGGGGGGTGAGGTGGAATACACGTCGTCGTGTAGTGTGGAGTGGGTGGAATACACGTCGTCTTGTAGTGTGGAGTGGGTGGAATACACGTCGTCTTGTAGTGTGGTGTGGGGTGGGTGGAATACACGTCGTCGTGTAGTGTGGTGTGGATGGAATACACGTCGTCGTGTAGTGTGGTGTGGATGGAATACACGTCGTCGTGTAGTGTGGTGTGGATGGAACACACACATCATGTAGTGTGGGGGATACTCGTCGTCGTGTACTGTCGGGGGATAATCGTGCATCACCATCATAACCTTAATGTCGAACTTGGCACGTTTTCTTCGGATGACTGCGCCCAGTCGCTGTTCAGTGTTATAGCCTGCAGCTGCAGTGACAGCTGCCCCATGCCTCATGAAGTACCCCAGGAGTATGCCCCCCCCCCTTCACGGCCTGCAGCTGCAGTGACAGCTGCCCCATGCTTCAAGAAGTACCCCAGGAGTATGCCCCCCCCCCCTTCACGGCCTGCAGCTGCAGTGACAGCTGCCCCATGCTTCATGAAGTACCCCAGGAGTATGCCCCCCCCTCTTCACGGCCTGCAGCTGCAGTGACAGCTGCCCCATGCTTCATGAAGTACCCCAGGAGTATGCCCCCCCCCCTTCACGGCCTGCAGCTGCAGTGACAGCTGCCCCATGCTTCATGAAGTACCCCAGGAGTATGCCCCCCCCCCCTTCACGGCCTGCAGCTGCAGTGACAGCTGCCCCATGCTTCATGAAGTACCCCAGGAGTATGCCCTCCTTCACGGCCTCCAGCTGCAGTGACAGCTGCCCCATGCTTCATGAAGTACCCCAGGAGTATGCCCTCCTTCACGGCCTCCAGCTGCAGTGACAGCTGCCCCATGCTTCATGAAGTACCCCAGTATACCTGCTTATTTAACATCCACAAAAAAGTCTGTCAATTTCTATCTGGAAGAAGAGGTTGGTTTAAACCTCTGCAACTTAGTGGGTATTAAAGTTTATCCATTCCATTGATTATGTTCATATATTATGCACCCCATACCCATCCTGTGAACAATATTGAACCTCATACCCATCCTGTGAACAATATTGGACCTCATACCCATCCTGTGAACAATATTGGACCCCATACTCATCCTGTGAACGATACAGAAACCCATACTCATCTTGTGAACGGTAGTGCAAAAAATTAGAGGCACATAATAAATCCAGGAACTGAACCTTAAAATTCATCCAGCTACGCAGATTAAAATCTCATTAAGCTGGTTAAACAGTACTTACGCCACATGAAGGCATTCAGTAAGATTAAGTAGATCCTCACTAATACTGCACATAAATAAAATAAAATAAAATCGCACAAAAATGTAACTTAACACGTATCAAATAATAAAAATGTATGATTATACAATATATGAGAATTAGCAGTAATAGAAACCTCGGCACTAATGATGGGCAAGACAAAATGTCATTAAAAAAAGAGTATGAAAAAGACACTAGAAAAGATAAAACCCAAATGCTTTATCATGAGCCACGGAGGTCTGCCTCAAATTTACGTCCCCAGTTATGGCCTTATCATAATGTAATAAATTATTAGCAAGCTGCTCGTATCATAATTACCAGGTACAGGCTGACCCCATTCACGGTGATGAGCCAGCTAGGTTACTAATTATGGCACAGAGTGTATTATAATTAGATTCTAATTATCCGACAAACAGAGGAATTGATGCGCGGCTCAGCAAGAGGAGAGGGGAGGAGCAGTTATTACAGAGGAAATGAATATATGAGTAAAATTGATAGCAAGATTGCTTAGCGTTGATGGAGAGTTTTGATCGTGATAGATTTGATAAAGTGACGAGTTTTTATTATCAATTTATATCTTGCAAGCTGTCTGTGGCAGCAGGTTTGTTAAGTAGTGATTATACGTCTCCTTTGTTCTTCGTTTGGAAGCCAGTGACTACATCTTTGGGAGAGCTGATGCGGTGTAGGTGGAACACAACAGATAATACACGTGATGTATTTGGGTGTTGTTACACTGGCTTTGGTACAGTTGACAGTACAATCACCCAATGTCTTGCTCAGATCAGTCTCCACGGAGACTTTAAACAGTCTCCGTGGTGTCATGGTAAGACACTCGCCTGGCGTTCCGCGAGCGCTTTGTCATGGGTTCGTATCCTGGCCGGGGAGGATTTACTGGGCGCAAATCCTTAACTGTAACCTCTGTTTAACTCAACAGTAAAATGTGTACTTGGTTGTAACAACGATTCTTCGCGGCTGGAATCGTATTCCAGGGACCTGCCCGAAACGCTACGCGTACTAGTGGCTGTACAAGAATGTAACAACTCTTGTACATATATCTCAACTCTTGTATCTATCTCAAAAAAAAAAAGCTGAGGATGATGATGCTGTGGTGTAGGTGGAAGCGGTATGGGGGGTCACGGTGAAATGATGGTGAAGGAGGTAGGGAGCTGATGGTGCAGGAGGTAATGGTGGTAGAATCTTACCGGACATTGACTTGGGAAATGAAGTTTAGCGTCTTACGCCACGCCTACTAGACTTTTTCTATCTGTTGTGCTATAATTGAACTATCGTGACTTTAGAAGTCTTCGCCGAATCTGAAATTAAAGTTGTGCGTTGAGGTGACTTCCATTAAATCTTTCAAATTATTCGCCTTGTTGCCCACCTGTACACATGCAACTCGTTTGCATTTCCAGCTTCCATCTATGTTCTCTTGCCATAATTTGTCTAAATTTAAAGACACTGCCCGTGTCCACTTTGTGTTGCATCAGTATCTTGCACGTTATGAT